GGTTCCAGTATGCTGAGCGGTAAAAAGTGATGGTCCTGCTTACGGTTTTATACTGGCCAAGCACTGGTTTATAATAGTTTTAATAGATGTGCTAATGATGTTCCTTTGGTCTAGGATTTGAAATTGTAGTTTTTTTTTTTTTGTTTGTTTTTTTACACTAATAAAGCAATGAAGCAACAAGCTGCTTTGTAAGGAATTTAGAAATTCAGCTTCAGCACAAACAGAAATATTTTGCCCCTGAAAGGGTCCTACTTTATTTTTAGTCTTTTATAATATAAAAGTTCTCCCGATGGTCAGTAACAGCCTCTTTGCTGTTGGAAACTTTTTGTTTGTACAAGATTACATGTCTTAGCCTTGATTTGGCTGAGAAAGTTTATCATTAACTTAATGACTACTGGGTGACCTGAATGAATAGTCTTGAAGTAAAATTTTTCCCTTTCTGAAAATTTCAAGTTAGGCTAGAAATTAAAGTAGAAATAAAGCCAAATTAAAAAGATTAAATCCAAGTTATGGAATCATTTTTCCTCATTTATGTAGGTTTAAACAGATTACTTAGAGAGGTTCAAAAAAGGTCCTAAAGGCTTAATTTCCAGAAATCCTGAAAACTTTTGCTGAGCTTTAGCTCTGCTAAACTTTAAAAGATTCAGTTATCAATAAAGTAATTATCATAGCAGCGTAGCAACGATTCACCTGTGTCTGTTATTATTGTTGCAGAGTATTGTTCGTGAATTTGCAACGCTTGATGCAGAGGAGGACATAAACAAGATAAATTCTGCCATCTTCTACTCCATCTCCTCAACCCAGGCTGGCCTTCAGGGTGTGGAGCTGGGCAACTTCCTCATCAAGAGGGTGGTCCGAGAACTGCAGGTTGGTGAAAGGGACAGAAGAATGAAATTATTGCAACGCCCCGTTGTTCTCCTGGGCTTTTGGGATGATTACTCTAACTTCCTAATGTTTATTCTAGGATATAATCACATGTTTGGGTTCGTGGGTTGGTCTTATTGTGCCAAAAGGAATGAATCACATAAAGTGACAAATAAAAGTCATTGCAAATTAGTAATTTAGTTGAGGCATAGCTGAAATATATCTGAAACCGTCAGAAGGTTGCAGCTGAGCTGGTTTCTTATAGCTCTCCATAATAACCAGTCTCATCAGCAGAGGTAGGAGGTAGTAAAGTAGAACTCCATTTTTAATGTGTTTAAGTTTCCTTTTCAGCTTTCATTAAGAGACATTATTTATGATGACCTTTTATTGTATTACTCCCCTTATTTGAGAACAGTTATCAGTCCTTTCACTCAAAGGATGTGGTTCCTTATGCCTCATTTGTTCACCTCTGATGGTTGTAAAGCATAATGTCCTGCTAGAGCTGTGCTACAGGAGCCTCTCATGGCAGTGCATTTGACAAACACACAGATCTGGATTTTGACTTGAGATGACCTCCTCAGCTCTGCTCTGTGATGGAGAATCAGAACATTTTCCCATACAGCTCCCTGCCAACTGGCAAATCCCCTCTTCACAGAATCATGCTTCTTAGAAGGTAGAGATTAGAGATGTTTTTAGAGTACAGTCCTATACAGAATGATTCAGATCCATTCTCTGTTTCAGACAGTCCAACCCAAAATTTGGATGGACTTAATGTGTCAGCTAGACCCTGTATAATTTTGATTACTAACTTATAGTTAGAGTGGCTCAAGTGATATAAATAGAATACAAAATAGAATACAAAATTTAAAAAAAGAAAATCCCTTTATTGTCCCACAATGGGGAAGTTGTGGTTATACAGCAGCATAATAATAATAAAAAAAAAAAAGGATGAAACGCTTAAGTTTATGAAGAGATGGTTTCCTGAAATTATTTCTATGCCTAGAATATCTGGAGATAGTTTTAAATGCTGATGGAGGCCTGTAGCAGGTTGTTGTGGTGGATGACCTTTAAGAGGGCACAGACGGTTGTTTTTGTGGAAACAGAAGACTCCCTGCTGTTCTGTCAGAAAGTCTAATCATCCTGACTTTAAAGGTTCTAATCTAAAGGGAGACAGAACCAGCTTATCAGTATCTTTTGATCCATGCACGAGGCAATTTTACAAGGACAGAACATTTTGTTTACCATTTATTGTAAATAGCCTGCAGACATGAACCAGGCAGAAAAAATGACAGGCTTTCTCTTCTTTTCTCATCTGTGATTTTTACCTATCCCACTGAACCAAAGGCTGAATAGCAGATGGACCTCTATCCATCTACTTTAACTTCTAGAATGGAAATAGGTTTTTTTTTATCTTCTCACTCCAGACCCTTGCTCATCTCAGATGAACCAATCATTGCTTGAACGTAATTATTTCCATAGGCTGATATGCCGCCATATCATTCCCTGTACACTACTTTAAGCCATATGAATTATGTTCACATTTAACACTTGTTGCAATCCAAGCACATGGAATAACTCGTAAAAAAGGGTCCCCACAAAGAGTCGTTTGAAGGGCTTATCAGACCTTTTACATGAGTGAGAGTGGTGACCTATTGGTTAGGGGATTGAGTTTGGATCCCAGAGTTCAAGCCCCACTCCCACAAACTGCTACTCTGGCTCCCTGAGCAAAGACCCTTAACCCCAAACTGTTCCCCGGGCACCGCACAATGGCAGCCCACTGCTCCCCAAGAAGATGGGTTAAATGCAGAGAGTTCATTTCGTTGCTTTGTACTTGTGACAGTTTAACAACAATAAAGTTAAATTCTATTATATTCAAATTCTTTCTCGCACAACTATTATTTGAACCTGCATAGCTGTTATGTCACCACTGAGAGATGAAGACTCACCAGAGAAGGGTTAAACTGTTAGAAAAATGTATCCCTAATACAGTAATGAGATACTACAGTGGGCTTGATTTGATCAGCTTAGCCACGGTGTTGCTTCTTTTAAGTTAAACGCTAACAAACAGCCCTTACTCGACCCATCTATAACTGAAGCTGTTGATGGCAGCGGGCCAGACGATATTTCCCTCCAGGATGGTGTCACAGCCAAACGGAAACAGACCAGGTGAAGCTTCTATGATGAGAAAAAGCAGAGATAATAAAAATATAGGGATTGTACTAACAAATACTGCAGAAAGGGAGAACATAAAATGGAATAAAGCAGAATGATGAAAAGTGCTCTCTATGTCCTCCATCAGTCTAAGCCTATAGCAGCATAACTATAGATATAACTCTGTATAACCGGAGCCACTCTGACTATAACCTTTATCAAAAAGGAAAGTTTTAGGCCTAGTCTTAAGAGTAGACAGAGTGTCGGCCTCAAGCACTAAAACTGGTAGTTGGTTCCACAATGGAGCCTGATTCAGCTATGTATTGTGTATGTATTTTACCTTTCTTCAGCTTTGCCGCACTGTGTGTAAGAGTATAGAAATTTCATCTTAAGATGGCCAAGCATGATTATTTTTCTGAGACTTTGAAACTATGGCGGTAGCAACTTGCTTTCTAAAAGCAGAAGAATAAAAACATACTAAACATGACAACATGAGAAATTCTGTGAAAAAGATTCACCATTTTGGTCCTGCTGCAGTTTTCTCAAATGTCATATTTGTTTTCACATAATTTGGTGAAATAATTTGAGTATAGTAAAAATAGAATTTCGGGGAATCGCCACATCAGAATACTTAAATGAAATGAGGTGCTGTCACCTGATGGCTGAGTTGCTGTTGGTGTTGAAGTAATGTGCGTTTAAAGGGGCTGACCCTGGCATTGTGAGTGCATTGGTCTATCCTGGAAGCTAAGCTGTGATCTACAGAGATCCAGGCTTCCTGACAGAGATTAGCCTATCATAAAGGTGATTGGGAAGCATTGCCACAGAGGATTCACTGTAAAGATGGATAGATGATAAACTGGGAAAGAAAAGGTCACTTTTGCAATTGCAGGTGAAGGAGGAATGTCTTGCTTGTCTTGGTAGATTTGACCCCCCAAGCAGAACCGTGGCACACCTCTCTCCTGCATCGTTTCCTTCATGTTCCTTTTTCACCTTTCCTGCTGATTTCATACTTTTTCTTACACTCTTTTTCATCGAGTTTTGCTTTCTAAAACTGAAACATCACCCAGAGCTTGGTGTGAAAAAGGTAGAGCTACAACACAGTCAAGTGTGAAGAAGCACAAAGGGGAGAGCCAGCACGGGGCCTTGATTTTTAAATTGAAAGGTGGATAAAAAAAGGGAAAGCAAAAGAAAAATAAAATGTCCTACCAGGGGGTGTCTCACACATCCACTTTCATAGACAGCTATTGCCTTTCTGCCTGACATATTGGTCTCTCGCTTATTAACGTGGACACCTAAGCACACAAATCTGTCTGAAAAGAAGAGGGAGGCTTTTTCTTTCTGCTAAAAGAAAGTGGAGGCGAGGCGGCAGCGAGCTGAGATCTGTGGATGACTGATTTCAGATGAGACAGAGACACAGGAGGGTTTGCAGTTACAGAGGAGAACAGGTATTATAGGTGAGAGTGCAAGGGATGAAAGGGTAGGAGAGAATAAGAGGGAGAAGTAGACAGAGAGGATCATCTATCACTATCAGCAGGGCAGATTCATGAAGCAGCTGAGAGGATTCGTAATGAAGTCCCAGCCTGTGGAACTAAAGGGGTCGAGCAGCCTGAGCAAAAACAAGGACGTTATCATTGTGTATTTACACTGAGGTTAAATCTCCATTCCTTGTTTTTCTTCCTTGAAAACTGGTGTCCTTTACACTCGGCGAAGACAGAAGGCTTCTTAAGATTTCCTCACTGTCGGCTCTTCTCCATCCCTTTTAGATCTACCAGGCAGCTGCAAAAGGCGGCTTCAGGGAACTGACAGAGAGGACATTTTTTTTATTACAATCTACAAATGTTACTACAACAAATAAAGATTATTATCCTACCTTCTCAGATTTAAGTGAAAAATCATGTACGTACATCGACTACTAAGTTAGGCTTAAACAGAGATGTAGCTGTAGCAGTTTTTTTTTTTTTTAACCATAAAAGTTTTTATAAAATGTGTAATCTTTAAAAAGATCTTTAAAGATAGATTTTGAGTTATTTAAAGTTCATACTTTTTAAAGGGTTTAATTAAGTATTCTGTTTTTTGCTTCATTTTCAGAGTGAGTTCCCTCATATGGCTCAGTTTTCCAGTCTATCACCCATTCCTGGGTTCTCATCCTGGCTTCAAGGTCTTCTGAGCCAGTACAGGAAGGAAGGCCGGGCAGCGGACCTTTTGTCCGAGCAGGAGTGGAAAGAAGTGGAGAAGACCATCGACAGTAGCCCAGGGACTCCACCTGTGGACTCTTTGCGTAAGCTTCTTGCCACCAGTGAGTGGACGCGCTCAGAGAAGCTGTCCCACGCCCTAGAGCCTGTCCTCATGCGCCTCTGCGCGTGGTACCTCTACGGAGAAAAGCGGCGAGGCTATGCTCTCAATCCTGTGGCCAATTTCCACCTGCAAAACGGCGCCACCATGTGGCGGATCAACTGGCGTGCTGACACCAGCCCCAGGGGCATGGCAAACTCCTGTGGAATCATGGTGAACTATCGCTACTTCCTGAACGAGACGTCTAAAAACAGCGCTCTATACCTTCAGAATAAAGTTGTGGCAGCATCAGAGCAGGTTTTGGGGCTCGTTTCCCAGTTTCAGAAAAACAGCAAACTGTGACTCTGTTACCAATAATATTAATGTGGTATTCCAGGTTATAGTTTACCTGCTGTTTACGACTAAAAAGACCGGTGTGTTATTTTACTGGAGCTGTCTTTGATGTTTGTCATGTTTCCCCAAATATCAACAATCAGCACCACCACCGAATGAACCACCTGACGTCGTAGAGGAACAGAAAGTAGGACATTTTTAACATGATGTAAATCGTCCCATCTGCTATTTGGCTCATTAGATTTCTAGCCAAAGCTGTTTGATATTGTGTAAGTGATTGTCAGAGCAGACTGCAGCTAATGAAGCAGAAGGCATCTATCAATGCCAGAGCATGCTGGTGGATAATAGCATGTAATGGTGAGGCCGGTGCAGGGAGGGTGCGCACCTCCTGGAATAAATGATGTTTATTCATTCATTTGGCTGAGCTGCTTCACTGTAAACCCATCAGAGATGGAGAGAAAGACAAGTAGATGTTTTCTTTACTATTGTCAGAACAGGATGTTTCTCTGATTTTCCGCTTTAAAAGTCATTACAGAAGGCATGGAGTCACCCGCGGGAAAAAAATGGTTCATAATAAATAAACTGATTTTCTGTTGAATGATCAAGCCGATGGTGTTTCACTGAATGTCTTCAGCTGGACGCTCCTTTCTGCTCTCTCTCCCACAGAGAGACATAAGCATCCTCTAAAGATCATCACTGATATCCTAAGGACTTGGTACCTGTGCAAAGCAGGTCTCGAATCATCCCACATCCCTTTGTTGGCAAATAATATATGAAAGCAAGTTAACTGTGAAATTACATTTTATCTCTCAAAGGAGTCAAACTGTCTTTTTATTTTTTCACATACCACCTTCTTAACAATGCGCTCGGTGTCCTAGAAACTAATGGAGTGAAAAATAAAGTTAAACTAAATGGTTAGATTGATGGTGTTCAGTTGTTAAGAAAGGAGGGAGGGGAGCATATAAAGAGGCAGAAAAGAAACATTGTTTAATGTTTGTCCTTCAGAGACAAGTGTGAGAGTCTCTGGAGACTGAGAAAAGATCATCACAGTTTCCATGCCTTGGGTTGCCATGGAAACAACACTGACATGTGACTCCAAGCTGCTTGTTTGGACTTATTGGGACCGCCAATAATGGTTTAGCCACTGCTTTCTAGTCAAATGGTTTTATTATGTAATTTTTATTTTGAAATATAAAGCTGAGCCGCTAATATTGGAGCTACAACAAGTGGTTGTTTAATTCTGTTTAAAGGCATGAAATCCACAAAACAACACAAATGTCCTGTAGCAATAATTCAATTAATGCAGGACTTTACATACACTCATCAGCATGAACATTTTTCAATTGGGCATTTTAATGATAATACATTTTCAATGAATTTTCCAATTTTGAATGATGTTATTCTGGATTTACTGTAAATCACATCTACTTGGTTTTATCCATTTAGGCTTGGATGTAGACACTGCCATTAATATCAAGGTTCCCGCAGTCTGAAAAATAGAGGGAATTTAGTAAGAAATTGAAAATAAAACTCTTGTTCTTTTATTTTGAACACTTAAGAGTTCTCATTATTTCAATTCAGTTTGTATAGCACCAATTCGCAACACATATCATCTCAAGGCACTTTACAATTAGACCAGATCATCCAGTCAAATTGTTTCAAAGTTTTCTATCTAAGGAAAACCAGTTGATTGCATCGACTCATTGTCTCTTCAGCAATCCTTCACACCAAGCATGCTTATAGCGACAGTTGAGAGTAAAAACTCTTAACAGGAATAAACCTTCAGCAGAACCAGGCTCAGTGTGATCGGCCATCTGCCGAGGCCGACTGGGGTTCAAGGAGACAGAAGCAGAGATACAAAGGAACTTGTCAACCAGCTCGACAGGCGACACTGTCCAGGAAACACAACCAGGCAAACAAGCTCCGAGCCAACCCCCATGTCAGAAGACGAAGAGAGCACATCCAGTTAGTCACAGTTAGGGAAACAGGACTACATTGAAAAATAGGCAGACTCAAAGATCTATAAACAAAGGTGTTGATGGGAGCAGCACAGCTGATACTGCTCTCCAGGATGGTGTCACAGCCAAACAAGAACAGACCAGAAGAAGCTACTATGAGAAAAAGAGAGAGCATAATGTTAGAAATTTAACTAATACATTCTGTAGAATGGGAGAATAGAGATTGAATGAAGAAGAATTATGAAAAAGGGGTCCCTATGTCCTCCAGCAGTCTAAGCCTACAGTACAGCAGCATACAGTAACTATACTGGTGGCAATGGATAACCTGAGCCACTCTAAATATAAGTTCAATCAAAAAGGAAAGTTTTAAGCCTACTCAGGGTGTCTGCCTCTCAGACTAAAACTGACAGTTGGTTCCACAGGAGAAGAGCCTGATAACTAAAAGATCTGCCTCCCATTCTACTTTTAGAAATTCTAGGAACCAATAGTAAACCTGCAGATTGAGAGCAAAATGCTCTGTTAAGGACAAAAGGAACAATCATATCTCTGATATAAGATGGAGCTTGGCTATTTGAGGCTTTATATGTGAGAAGGAGGATTTTAAATTCTATTCTGGATTTAACAGTAGGCCAATGAGAAGCTAGAATAGGAGAGAAATGATCTCTCTTTTTAATTTTCATCAGAACTCTGGCTGCAGCTTTTTGGATCAGCTGAAGGCTTTTAACTATAGTTTGTGGACTTCTTGATAGTAAGGAATTACAATATTTCCAGCCTTGAAGTAACAAATGCTAGTTTATTAGCATTACCCCTGGACAGGATATTTACATTTTTTTGCAATATTCAAGCAGATGGAAGAAGGAAATTCTAGAAACCTATTTGATATGGGATTTAAAATAACACTAAGATTTTTTACTTTATTGTCTCAGCTCAATTTAATCCCATTCAAATTAAGTGACAGACTAATCCGCTTCTTTTTCAAAGACTCAGGTCCAAAGACTATAAGTTTGTGTTTTGTTTTCATTCAGGAGCAGGAAGATAAGAGTCATCCAGATTTTTATGTCTTCAAGACATGCATGTAATCTATGTAATGGATTAGCTTCAACCTGGACTAAAGCATCTACCCATTCCTGGATTCGCCGTCCACATTAGGAGGAACCCAGGGCCACCCGCATCAACATGAAACACTGCACTGCAAACACATGCACACTTGTGGTTTGCTGGAGGTAATTTTGCAAGGCTTTTTCCTGTCTTCATGAGTTTTCATGTCAAAGGGATAAAAGAGAGCACTTACAGTTAGTACCAGTAAAAGTTGATCCCATAGCTATGTCTAGGAGGTAAACAGGACTAACGCTAAACAACATGCCCAATTCCATCATCTATAATCGAAGGTGTTTATGGCAGCAGGATGGTGTCACAGCAAAGCGGGAACAGAACAGATGAAGCTACTATGAGAAAAAGTTTCATCATCAGACTTCACTCAATTCCCCTCTTTCTGCATTCCTTTCCAGCATTTTACCAACATAACGAATAAGGTATAATTAGGATACAACTAACCCCCCTGTATGAATTTTATCAACACAACCCTACTCATCGCACAGGTCCTGCCACTAAACCAACAACTTCCAAAAACGGCAGAAAGCACTCCCCACGTACTAATTGTTGTAATTTGTTTGGCCCATCACCTAGTCCTATGGAATATTGTGATTAACTGTATCCAACACAGCACTGAGATCTAAAAGGACGAGTACAAATACAAGTCTAATATCCAAGGCCATGAAAATATCATTAGTGAATCGCACCAGTACTATTTCAGTGCTATGATGACCTCTAATACCTGAGAAAAACTCTTCAAAAAGGTCATAAAGGTGTAAGTGCACTTCATTAGCAGCTATTTTCTCAATCATTTTACATAAGGAAGATTAGATAGGTCTATAATTATAGGCAGTACATGTCCCTGTAACAGGGATAAGTTATCATATCTAAAATGGAAGTGGAAATAAGAGGCAATATATTCTTAAATGTTCCATATTATGCAAAATTCACTTTTCTTTTTTTCCATATAAATAAATATATATATATATATATATATATAGATATATTTTGGGTTATAAGGATACAATACATGCATTTTAATGAGTATCATTTCACCCATTCTACCCAAAATTAGAAAGTCACCTTCAAAGAAAATATGAGTAATGTTAACAATGAGCAAACACGACTCTCTCCCCCTTGACGAGAAACAAACAAGGGCGAACAGTTACCACACCAACAAACTACCAAAAAAAAAAAAAAAAAAAAAAAAAACTGACATTTATGGATTGGGTCTGAATTACTTGGAAAACTAAATAAAAAATGTAACTATAACAATTTTTACATGTGTTAGAATCGACCACCAGATCANTTCCAAAAACGGCAGAAAGCACTCCCCACGTACTAATTGTTGTAATTTGTTTGGCCCATCACCTAGTCCTATGGAATATTGTGATTAACTGTATCAAACACAGCACTGAGATCTAAGAGGACGAGTACAAATACAAGTCTAATATCCAAGGCCATGAAAATATCATTAGTGAATCGCACCAGTGCTATTTCAGAATCGACCACCAGATCATCAAACCAACAAGTGGCCTCTCAAAATCCTGACTGGAAAAAAATGGATAAATAAAATGCTAATTAAAAAAAGAGTGCATCTTAATTTGAACCATCTACTTTAATCTTCTAAGTGTATAAATTAAGGAAAGAATGGTAATTTCATTTTTATAAAAGTTTTTGGCACAGACTTTCACTTTTCTCGACCGAGATATCTGATGTATTTCCAGGGATCTGCTGTAGCCACTCAAGTTTGGGGGTCACTGCCCCGAGGACCCACTGCAGGACCCACTGGACCAGCATAGGGTCTGACAATGGGTGCAAGGATTTCATCCCGATACCTAATGGCGGCCAGGGTGCCATTGTCTAGCATGTATAGGTCTGTGCGTCCCTCCACCGATATGCCTCCCCAGACCATCACTGACCACCAAACCGGTCATGCTGAACGATGTTACAGGCAGCATAACATTCTCCACGGCTTCTACAGACCCTTTCACATCTGTCACATGTGCTCTGGGTGAACCTGCTCTCATCTGTGAAAAGCACAGGGTGCCAGTGGCGGACTTGCCAATTCTGGTGTTCTGTGGCAAATGCCAATTGAGCTCCGAGGTGCCGGGCAGTGAGCACAGGGCCCACTAGAGGACGTCGGGCCCTCAGGCCAACCTAGTGAAGTCTGTTCCTGATTGTTTAGTCAGAGACATTCACACCAGTGGCCTGGTGGAGGTCATTTTGTAGGACTCTGGCAGTGCTCCTCCTGCTCCTCCTTGCACAAAGGAGCAGATACAGGTCCTGCTGATGGGTTGTAGACTTTCTACGGCCCTGTCCAGCTCTCCTGGAGTAACTGCCTGTCTCCTGGAATCTCCTCCATGCTATTGAGATTGTGCTGGGAGGCACAGCAAACCTTATGGTGATGGCACTTATTGATGTGCCATCCTGGAGGAGTTGGACTGCCTGTGCAACCTCTGTAAGGTCCAGGTAGTGCCTCATGCTAACAGTAGTGACAGCAACCCTAGCCAAATGCAAAACTGGTGAAAAAGAGTCAGAAAAGATGAGGACGGGAAAAAATGTCAGTGGCCTCCACCTGTAAAACCATTCCTGTTTTGATGGTTGTCTCGTTGTTGCCCCTCTAGTGCACCTGTTGTTAATTTCATCAACACCAAAGCAGCTGAAACTGATTAACAACCGTCTCTGCTCCTTACCTGGCCAAATCAATATCCGAGAAGTTTAATTAACTTGATGCTATACTCTGATTACACAGTGTTCCTCTAATTTTTTTAGGTAGTGTATATATATATATATATATATATATATATATATATATACATATATGCATATAGCTCTTCTTTTTAGAAATGATCTTTTTGTCCTTTTGTCCTTTAAGCCTGACAGTTTATGGTGTAGACCATGGGGCAGAGTCGTCTTTTAACACACCTCTCTACTGATTCTTTAGCCACCCTTTACCCAATTCAGACGGCGTCTTGCCTTGACCCATAATTAAGTTAGTGCAGATCATTGGCACCATCCACATCTAGTGAAAACTAGTGTAATTGGATGAGTCATATAACAAAAACACTCATTGGTTAACTATTCATCAAATTTGTGCTGACGCCAAAGGAAATCATCTGAAACAAGCAGGTATTCTTCAAACTGTAAACACAAATTGTCAATGCCATGCTACAATGTCGGATTCTGAAAATGTTGAAATGTCTGAAAGGTCGGACACAGACAAGAGCATATCGGGAGATGGAGACGGAGACCAACAAGATCTCCCTCATCCTTGGCCCTATCTTAAAGATTTTTTCAAAATAGTAGTAAAATTGAGCTTTCAATTCATGTAGTGGCATCTTGCTGTTTTTTTTAAAGGTTACTTTATACTTTTATAATTTAAGTAGTTTTTGGAGCACATACTTTTTCACTTCTACTT